ATGTTTTGATCTCTGGCTTCCATCAACCACAGCGACCACCGCAGCTGGACTGAAGAAATCCCCATTTTAGGGATGGGGGGTTGTGCTAGATGACCCCTGGGGTCCCTTCAAACTTTGCAATTCTGCGATTCTTGTTATGTACTGAGTTGAATAGGATCCAAACTGCAGCAGTCTGATTGGTCCTAGAACAATAGGATTCAGAATGCAACGGTCTGATTGGTCCTAGAACAATGCAGCAGTATGATTGGTCGGCAGGAGCCACCCAATCCAGCTCCAGATAGAAGTGAATCCACAACCTGAGAATTCCGGAATTAGCCAATCACGTGCAGCCCATTGTGTAAATAATGTATATAAAGCAGATAGTTTGAGGGGACTTTCATTCCCTCCTCACCACTATGAGCTGAATAAAGAGCATGAAATCCACTCTCGACTCTGAGTATATTTCAATTCTAGAGAGGGTGAAATCCTGGAGGCGGCAAAACTGGGTGAAGCCTCTGAGTTCAGTCCAGCAAAGCAGAGGGAGGCAGCAGCCTCAGGTGGCTGGTTTTGAGAGCCAAGAAAGAGAAGCAATTGATTTGTTTTGTAAAGTTTTTTATTTGCCTCAGGTATCCAAATACCTCGGCTGGCCTCAGGGACTACGAACCCTGAATTGGTGTGCTGTTTGCTTCTCTGCCTCAGGCAGCAAAACACCCTGGAATGGCTCGGGGGGGGTGGGGGTTCGTGTGTCATCTTTTAAAACGATTCACCCGTGGAAAAAAATAAAAAATCTGCATCCTCTCATCCAATTGAAATAAAAAAATTAAGGTCTTCTATATATTATAAATGTTCATGGATTTGCCAGGCAAACACGTACATAAATGTATGGGCCACATGTCTGAGGCAGCACAGGAGGGCAGCCCTGGATCCATTTTGGCTGCCAAACTGACCAAATGTTTTCTCTGCAAGGTCAAAGGGAAATGGAAAAGCCTCCCCATTGTCTTTTCATTCCCAAAACCTCTCTTAAGGGTATGTCTGTGTATGAATAGGGTGAGCCTGTGACCTGGCTCAGGAACTAAGTATTTGTCACTACAAAAGACTGGCCAGGCTCCCCAGGGTATCCAATCAAGTGAGCATTTGGAGGTAACCTGCCAGACAGGAGATAAACGACAGGAAATAAACAAGACACTCAGATTTCTCCTGTAGATGGCCCTTTCTGTGATGTGTGTGGGGGGTGGTCTTGAGCTACACCCCTTCTGTGATGTATGTATGATGTTTCTGGGGGTGGTCTTGGACTCCAGGGCGGGCAATTTAAAATGTCTATATAAGGGCGGGTACAACTTGGTTCTGGGTCCTCCTCCTGCATGTGAGGGGAGCACCCTGTTGCAACAGTTCAATAAAGATCAGGCTTACTAGCTGCTTTGCTTCTCAATATTCTCTGGTTGGCCTCTGTTCTTTTCTCCTGACCAATAGGGAACCCACGTAAGGACTCGATAAGGGCTCTTGTGTCCCCCAGAAGGGAATAAGGGCAGATTTTCGTTTATTACACAATCCTGCTGCCATAAAAGTTCAGGCCAGTGGTAGGGTGCTGCTTCTGCATTGCCACAAAGGAGAGCAGATTTACATCACATTTGCATATGCTAATTTGCATCTCTAGATGCAGCAACCTACCACTTGAATTCTGCACCCCATGACGGGGTCCCGGGAGACTGATCAAGCGATGGTAAAGTAAGAATCTAAGTAGTGTCTGCCGGATCAGGCCCATGGCCCATCGAGTCCAGCATCCTGTTCTCACAGTGGCCAACCAGGTGCCCCAGTGGGAAACCAGCAAGCAGGACCCGAGTGCGAGAACCCTCTCTCCTCCTGTGGTTTCCAGGGACTGGTGCTCAGAAGCGTTGTAGCCTCTGGCTATGGAGCCAGAGCACAGCTATTGTGACTAGTAGCCATGAATCGCCTCAGGTCCTCCATGAATTTGTTTAATCCTCTTTTAAAGCCATCTGTGGGAAAGTTCAGGGAGGCAGGAGAAGATATATTGTTCATTAATATCCTTCCTAATTTGCGCTAGCAAGCTCCTTTACTTAGCAGAGTTTTACATTCCCCTGTTAAACGCACAGCAGATAGCTGGTTGCAGGCTTGTTTAAGCCTCTCACTATTAGGTTCCTGGTAAGTCCCCTTATATCCCCCTTAAAAGAATGAACACGCCACAATCTTGTGTAAAGTATATAAAAGTAGTTTACTCACATTCAGTTCACAGTTGGATCCCTGAAGGCAGACTTAGTTACAAAGTATATACATGTGGATCTATCCCATATGGGGACAATCCCAGTGTCCTCTGTTGGCTGGAAAAAAATAGTCCGGCCCCCCACAAGGTCTGAAGGACAGTGGACCGGCCCCCTGCTGAAAAAGTTTGCTGACCCCTGACCTAGCAGTTCGAAAGCACGCCAAAAAGTGCATGTAGATAAATAGGTACCAGTCCAGCGGGAAGGTAAATGGTGTTATTGGTTTCAGAACTCACAGGGTTAAGGAGTTCTGTGTGACGTCTCTTTCCTGAGGCGTGGTTAGAAACACTTAGGGAGTGGTTTGACGCTATGTGTTCAGTCTGGTTTCGCTTTTGCGGACAGAGGACGCAAGATGTGTGCGTTGTCGCCCGGAGAGATTTAAGAGATGTTTTACTTCATGATTAAAGGCTAACGAGATAAGGAACGCCTTGTGTCTGAATTTATTACCCACATGCTGCAATTGCTTCACCGCTGTGTTTACTCTGCTACCGGCAAGAGGCAGAGGCAGGAAGGATCTTTGGATCAGCACGGACAGGCAGCAGAGCTGCGCAGGGAAGCGTGCTGGACTCCATGTTTGTTTTTCTTGGCACTCATGGCAACTTTGGCCTCTGCGTTGCCATAAATGGCATTTCCGTGCGCTGCTCCGGTTTGCCAGAAGTGGCTTAGTCATGCTGGCCACATGATCCGGAAGCTGTACGCCAGCTCCCTCGGCCAATAAAGCGAGGTGAGCGCCGCAACCCCAGAGTCGGCCACAACTGCACCTAATGGTCAGGGGCTCCCTTTACCTTTAGGTCCCCTTATGTCCTTCTTAAAAGAATGAACACACCCCAATCTTGTGTAAAGTATATAAAAGAAGTTTACTCACATCATCAGTTCACAGTTGGATCCCTGAAGGCAGACTTAGTTACAAAGTATATACATGTGGATCTATCCCATGTGGGGACAATCCAGTGTCCCTGTGGATAAAGCAAGAGCATCTCTAGCTAAAAAGCTGCTCCAACGATGGAGAAGTCAAAAGAGAGTGTGCAGTGTGTCCTGTCCTTTTGTTACCTGGTCAGGTAAGGTCACGCCCACCTCTGATCACATGCAAAGGAAGGATGCTCCAGCCCAGGAAGACACAGGAAATTTTGACTGGATGGACCAAACATCCCCCTGCATGTCCACTCTAGGAAAACAAGGAATGTTGTACTTGACTGCTCCCAGTGGATTACATCCCACACCATCCAAGTTGGTGACTATCCCTGCCTCCTGTGGAAGGGAGTTCCACAGTTAATCTGTGCACTGCATGAAGAAGGGCTGTCTCTTATCCGCCCTGAATCTTCCAGTGCTGAGCTTCATTAGATGCCCACAGAAAGAGCACTTGGGCCTAAGCACCATTTACATTTTATCAAAGTAATTGTTGAACTGAAATACAATTAAGAAGAAGTATATTAATATTGAAATAGAAATGAGCAAACCAGTGATATTTTAGGGAGCAGGCTAGTAGGCAGAGGCATGACTTACATCATAGGAACCTACACAACACAAAACACTGTTGCTGTGTGTAGGTTTTATTTTATTTGTTTTTTATCTTATATTTTGGAAATGTACATCCAGTTTTTTGTTCCTTTAATTTTTTTGGGGGGGCCCCCAAGAGAGTGGGGCTCTAAGCTATAGCTTGTTTAGCTCATACGCAAATCCAGCACTGGGTTGGATAGTTACAATGGAATGGTCTTGGTGGGGTGCACATTTTTATTCTTAAAAAAATAAAAAAAAGATTCCTTCCATTGGCACCTTAGAGACCAACTAAGTTTGTTATTGGTATGAGCTTTCGTGTGCATGCACACTTCTTCAGATACATATCTTCTTCAGATACTTCTTCGTAACTGAAGAAGTGTGCATGCACAGGAAAGCTCATACCAATAACAAACTTAGTTGGTCTCTAAGGTGCCACTGGAAGGAATTTTTTAATTTTGTTTTGACTACGGCAGATTAACACAGCTGTTGTTGTTAAATCGTTTAGTCGTGTCCGACTCTTCGTGACCCCATGGACCAGAGCACGCCAGGCGCTCCTATCTTCCACTGCCTCCTGCAAACTCATGCTGGTAGCTTCGAAAACACTATCCAACCATCTCATCCTCTGTCGTCCCCTTCTCCTTGTGCCCTCCATCTTTCCCAACATCAGGGTCTTTTCCCGGGAGTCTTCTCTTCTCATGAGGTGGCCAAAGTCTTGGAGCCTCAGCTTCACGATCTGTCCTTCCAGTGAGCACTCAGGGCTGATTTCCTTCAGAATGGAGAGGTTGGAGCTTCTTGCAGTCCATGGGACTCTCAAGAGTCTCCTCCAGCACCAGAATTCAAAGACATCAATTCTTCGGCGATCAGCCTTCTTTATGATCCAGCTCTCACTTCCATGCATCACTACTGGGAAAACCATAGCTTTAACAATATGGACCTTTGTTGGCAAGGTGATGTCTCTGCTTTACCTGAAACTAGAACTATTTTCTTGTTTTTGCATGATTATTACTTTGCCAAAATAAAATTAAAGAAAAGAAAAAACCCGTGCCGGTACTCACTATGAAGTTGTTTCAGTAAAACATTTTGGGGACAGGTACTGCGTACCTGAGAGTACCCCAGAAAACAAATCCCAGCTGTTCCTAATTCTGGCTTCTTCGCCCGGCTCTTCCGCCCATCCGCCACGTGGCGGCGCCGCGACTCGCTCGGCTGCCGCCTCCGCTCGGGGCTCATCTCCGCCCCGGCGGCCGGGACGTGCGCTCGGAGCGGGAGGGCGAAGGAGCCTCGGCCGGACTCTCCTCCTCCGGAGACTTCCAGCAGCCGGCTGCCAGGGCGCCCGACGCCCACGATGCCCCGGGCGCCGCACGGAGGAGGACGCCGCGGGAGGTGAGTGGCTGGATCAGGGCACTTCTGGATGCGCAACTGGAAGGTGGCACCGGAGTGGCGCCGGGAAGCGCCAGGAGCGCAAGGGCGAAACGGGAGGTGGAGGTGGTTGTTGCTGCCTGGGCGCAATTTTTGGGGGGAAAGGGAGAGGGGCGGGGTGGGGATTCCAAGGAGGGGTTCCCCTCCTCGCCCCCCAAAAGAGAAAAAAAAACTGTTCCGAGCAGTGGGTGCAAAGGAATTTGGGCTACGCGGACGTGCCAAGCGGCGGAGCCAGAAAGTGGGACAGGTTGACATAGAGACGGAGTTCGCGGCGCCCGCAAACACACGAGCGCGCCGCGCGCACGATCGGGTTGCAGTGCCCCGCGGAGAGGAGACACGCAAGCGTGGATCCCGAGATCCCAGCCAGGGACTGGGAAGGGAAGAGGTCAGGATCAGTGCCGGATTTAGAATAAGCTAAACAAGCTATAACTTAGGGCCCCACTCTCTTGGCCCCCCCAAAAAAAATTTAAAGGGGGAAAAACGATGTACATTTCCAAAATATAAAATAAAAAACAAATAAATAAAACCTACCTACAGCAAAAGTGTTTTGTGTTGCGTAGGCTCCTGTGATCTAAGTAAGGAGCCCCGCCTGCTAGCCTGCTCCCTAAAAGATCACTGCTTTGCTCATTTCTATATATAGGGTACCTACAAAAAATATCAGGGGTCCCTTTACCTTTACCTTCACATAAAATATGTATTTTATGATAAAATAGATGTTTTGTTATGTGCATGAGATACCTATTAGGTCCATAAATTGCCATATAGCATATAGTCAACACAAAAAACAGCGGTAATTTGTTGTTGACAAAGGACAGCTGGACATATAAAGGGCCCCATTACCTTCAGTAGCTTACGGCCTCATCAAACCTAAATCCAGCCCTGTGCAGGATCCATGTCCCTTGAGATCGCTGAACGTGGGTTTTTAAAAAAAGATAAGTGCACTTTCATGGCCCTGATGTGGCCAGGAAGGAACAAGGACATAAGAAAATAACAGTAATAGTAATAGTAGTAATACTACTACTACTACTACTAATAATAATAATATTTATACCCCACCCATCTGGCTGGGCTTCCCCAGCCACTCTGGGCGGCTTCCAACAAAATATTAAAATACAGTAATGCACCAAATATTAAAAGCTTCCCTAAACAGGGCTGGCTGCAGGATCAGGCCAGTGGCCAAATACAATGATGCAGGAATGTGGAGCTGGAGGCTCTGTAAAAAGAGGCTGGCCACTGGATCAGGTCAGTGGCCCAGGTAGTCCAGCATCCTGTCCTCTCAGTGGCCAACCAGGTGCCTCTTCGGGGAAACCTGCAGCAAGCAGGATCCGGGCACATGCGCCCTCTGCCCCCAGCCTGCAGCTTCCAGGAACTGGGGCTCAGGAGCATTTGTGCCTCTGACTGTGGAGTCAAAGGAGGGCTGTTCTGACTATGTGGCCATTGAGAGCCCTCTCCTCCTCCTCCTCTTCCTCCATGGCAAGTGGAGCTAGGAGAGATGTTTCCTCCATCCACGAAAAGCGGCAGGTTTGTGAGGCTGGGACCCAAAGTCGGTCGTTACCCCGGATTACTTAAGCGGCCAATAGAAGCATTTCGGACAGAGTGGCTCCAAAGGGGAGCTTGCAAGCGCAGCTGACTCGCGAAAGGTCTGGACTCCGTAACAGACACACAGCTGAGAGCTGCCCTGGCAGAGAGAGTTGGCCCATGGCTTTGGACACTCAAAGTGTATGTCTTTAGGACCCACCTCATTTTTACAGTTAGAAGTTTGTGCGTGCTGGGCCCGGGGGTAACCTGAGCAACGCAGTCCAGGTCCAGTCCCGAATCCAAGGGTTCTGTGAGGAGTCAGTCCGACAGAGCCAAGGCAGGAAACCAGGCAAGGCCAGGCACAGGATCTCAGGCAGGATCTGGCATACAGCAATGTTGCTCCCGCAACCTGGAGCGGGGTCCAGCAGCCTTTTATTTCTGTCGGGGTAACGGCTGGTCCTGATCCCCGGTGACTCACCTCCCTGTTTCGCCCGAAGGCGAGCACTCCTCCTGCGAGTACTCAGGACTCTCCTTCTCTCAGACCTCAGTCTCTGCAGCTCAGGAGACGTCGGTGGGTTACTAGACCCAGAGGCCGCCTCAGCCTCCCCTGACCCAACTGGTAGTGGAGCAGCTGTAAGTGATGGCCCAGCTGGAGGCAAGGAGGTCATCCCCACATCTGGAGCCAGGGCAGGCTCAGGCCCCTGACTCGGCCCAGCTGGTGCTTGTTGCAGGGGAACCTGTGCAGACTGGGACTCCTCAGGATCAGGCCCCAGACTAGGTTCAGATGATGCCTGAGGCAAAGGATCCGGTGCGGACTGAGACTCCTCTGGCTCCGAGCCCGAGTCCCAGACCATCACATTGTGGAATCATGTAATTGTCAAGTTGGAAGGGACCCTGAAGGTCATCTATTCCAACCCCCTGCAGTGCCCAGAACCACAGCTGACAGATGTCCATCTAACCTCTGCTTGAAAACCTCTGGCGAAGGAGAAGAGGCTTAGAGTCCACCGCTGAGTTGTTCTAAGGTGTGTTAATGCTGCAAGCTGCCATGGAACTTTAGGGTGAAGGCTGGGGGATCAATAATCAATAATGATACGGTACTAACAGCAACATGGGTGCCGGGGATGGGATCACAGGTCCCAGGGGCGGACTTTGTTAATAAGGCACCCTGAGCGAGAACAAAATTTGACATCCTAAATATTTATTGGGGGCCCTCTCAGTTTCTGTTCTGCGCTGGCTCTCAAGTGCTCTATGTTCCAGCTGCAGTAACTCAATCGCACATCTGACTGGGGCCTAACTCTGAGTAGGAACCCGTATAAATATAGGTATTGTTGTTACAGTCATACCTCAGGTTACAGATGCTTCAGGCTGCGTTTTTTTCAGGTTACGGACACGCCCAAACCCGGAAGTACTGGAATGGGTTACTTCCGGGTTTCGGTGGTCGCGCATGCACAGAAGCGCTAAATCGCGCTTTGCGCATGCACAGAAGCACTGAATCGCAACCTGTGCGTGCGCAGACGTGGCGCTATGGGTTGTGAATGCTGCGGGTTGCGAACGTGCCTCCCGCACAGATCGTGTTCGCAACACGAGCGTCCACTGTAATTATTATTATTATTATTATTATTATTATTATTGTATTTTGTGCTCCCTTGGCTCGGCACCTTGTGCGGAGGAGGAAACGATTCTTAAACCGCTCTGGGAACTGTGGCACTGGGAGGGGATGGTGCTGTCCCAGCTACAATCCTCAAGAGACATCCCAGGACTCTAGGGGACTGTTTAAAGCGTGGCTGTTTTGTTTCAATGCATCGTGCCAACGTGGCCACAGATACCTATCTAAAAGCCATGCTAATAGAGCAGGCGCACACAGGCAGAACCGGCTGTTGTGTGGGACATCAGAGGCGGGGCCTGCAAGCCCAGGAGTGACATTTGCAGCTGGATTAGTGGGGGGTAAGCGGGAGATATTTGGGGGAAGGCCCATGCAGAATATTCCTGGTCCAGTCCCCACTGACATCTCTGGGAGAGGATTCTCTCTCAAACTCTAGAGAGCTGCTGCCGGCCTGTGTGGACAGCACTGAGCCCGACGGAGCAATCTTCTGACTCTGCAGAAAGCAGCCTCTCCGATGGCTGCGCAAGACCTGCAGCACAGGCTGACCTTGAGACGTCCGTCGAGGCAGACGGACCGGAAAGGTGAGCTGGCGACCTGGACGCAGAGACGCTGAAATGGAGACGGGCAGAGAGGTGTGGGAATCAGGGGACGCGCCAGTGCGCAAAAGTAGCTCCTTGGCAGCAGAGCAGAAATGGACACGCAGGGGAGGAGACGGGAGAGAGCCCAGGGAGGAAGCATCCTTGCGAGGCGCAAGAGGGACGAAAACTACACACAAAGCGGCGTGCGGTTTCGCAAACGCCTTTTCTCTCCCAGAGAATCCTGGGAACTGGAGTTGCTTAATGGATGCCTGCCATGGATGCTTCAGCCGAGATACCTGCATTGCAGGGGGATGGACTGGATGACCCCTGGGACCCTTCCAGCTCTACGATTATTCTGTGGTTTTATAAGGGTTGTGGGGAATGGTAGCTCTGCGAGGTGTGAACTGTTAGAATTCCAGCTCCGTGATTGCAGTCACGGGATTGTTGTCTATCACATGATGGTGTATGTTTTGACTCCACAGAGTGGGAAGTGACGGAGACAGGATGTTTGTGTGACTGTGTTCCGTGAAGTGGGACTATTGGCCTTTGTTCTGTTTCTCTTTGCTGTCTGATGCTAGAGAGAGAGGGAGCCATGTTGCAGTGCTCCGTGTGTGTTTATATGTAAATAAAGTAGATTAGCCAAAATGCTGAGTTGCTGCTTCCGGGCTTCCCATGACGGGCATCCGGTTGGCCCTTGTGGGAACGGGATGCTGGCCCAGATGGGCCACTGGCCTGATCCTGCCGGTTCTCCTTAGGTTCTTCTGTTTAAAGGGTTGCTGTGTACAGAGGCGACCAGCTCAGCAGCTGACGGGAAGAGCCTGCCTCGGGTTTTCCATTCCCTCAGAAAGTGCAGCCAGGAAAAAAATAGCTGGCTGGCCAGTCGAGGCCCATCTGGTTGCTGTTGGTGACCAAGTCGGGCCTGGTGGCAGAAGCCGGGCCAGTTCCCAAGTGGACGGGGCCACGAACGAAGCTGTTTTGCCGTTTGCGGGATCTAAAACCAGGCAGCAGTGGTCAACTGGACTCATGTGGGCTAGATTCCCACCCGCCCGCCCACCCATATATTTATATTTACACCCTCCGAAGGGTCTTATATCAAAATGGTAAGGAAGGATTGTGTGTGAGAATTAAGGTCCGTGCAGCTCCCACTGTACGCAAAAGGAAGGCATTTTTAAAAAGTTTGGTGTTACGACAAGGCAGATATTCAATAGGTGAAGCTTCTTCACCTGCTGAATTTCTGCCCAACTCAGGCAGCAACCTCAGTGGTT